CTCGTAGAAGCCACATACTCTTTCCTTTCTTTTCCTCCAGCCCAAACTCCTCAAGCACGAATAGATCTCAAATGGGTGAATATCACATTTTAGTAATAATCTTCTACTCTAAAGTAACTAGTTTAGTAAATATTCTGAACTGTCTTTTGACAGAAGATTCTTAGGTATTCCTGCTTTTTTTTTTTTTTTTTTTACAATCAGCTATTGCCTGAGTAACTGCAATATGGTCTGTTCAATCTGTTAGGGTACGGAGGGCCCGGGTGAGGGTGGAGTGATGCAGGGAGGTGCGCAACACCACCGGGGCTGGCAAGCCGAAGGTGTGCACTGGGAACCCAGAGATCCAAATAAATTGCAAAGAATTGTGACACACAAATAGGTTAAGAAAGAAAAGTTTATTTAGAAATAAATTAGAGAGAGAAGGAAAAGAGAAGATTCACCTCCCCAAGGTGGGAGAGGGAGACCAAAGCCAGGAAGCATGGCGACAGCCATGGCTCAAAGAGCACATGGCCACACCAGACTCTAGCAAAGCAATGGCCCCTGGTTGCTTGTGTTTGAGTCCTTTTAACCATTCTCCTAGATGAGGAAGATCATTAAGGTGGTGGCCTGCTTCCACATCATCACAAAGGGGCAGACAAGTGCAGGTACTGATGATGTCAGGTGATGGACAGCAGGCAGATGGGTGGATTATTCGCATGATTTCTGCCATGATGGGGCTTATCTGTGTCACATAGTTCACAGAGGGCTGATGAGGTCAACTCTAGCTGGAGTTTCCTTTAAGAGACTTGTTAGACATTTGCAATTCACGAATTCTTTGACCAAAGGTGGTTATGGTCCTTTGGGTTGTCCTGATCTTGTATCTGAAGATTTGCCTGGGTGGGGGGGTGGGATAGCTGCTGTTTGTCCTGCAGTAGTATGTCTGAATGCTTTCTAATCATTACACTGAGGCAAAAAGACTAAGAATAAGCTAAGTTTCTTCTAGGTTTCAATAGGTACATTTCACAATCTGCCTTTTTCTACTTCTGTAAATCCATCCCATCTACAGAGCGATCTTTTTTTTTTTTTTTTGAGTCAGAGTCTCACTCTGTAGCCCAGGGTGTAGCATGTTCATGACCACTGCACCCTCAACCTGCTGGCCTCAGGCCCTTCTGCCTCAGCCTTCCAAGTAGCTGGAACCACTGGCATGCACCGCCACACTCAGTTTTTTTTTGTTTTGTTTTTTTTATTTGTTGTAGAGACACAGTATCGCCAAGCTGCCCAGGCAGGTCTTGAACTCCCGGGCTCAAGAGATCTTCTCACCTTGGCCTCCCAACGTGCTGAGATTACAGCATGAGCCACCACACCACCCAGAGTGGTCTTTCTGAAATGCAAATAGAATTGTGTTGCTCCCAAACTTAATAGCTTCCCATTGCCTGTTTTCTGTTTTTTGTTTTTTTTGAGTTAGAGTCTCACTCTGTCGCCCAGACTGGAGTGCAGTGGCCGTTCCCAGCCACCGCAGCCTCCACCTGCTGGGCTCTGGCGATCCTTCCACCTCAGCCTTCCAAGTAGCTGGAATTACAGGCCTGCACTACCACGCCCGGCTGATTTTTTGATTTATTGTAGAGATGAGATCTTGCCTGCCCGGCATTGCCTATTTTAATTGAATCCCAAGCATTGCCTTTGGTCAAAGAGGCCTACTGAGATCCAAGCCTAGCCCTCCCCAGCTCCTGGGCCCTCTCTCGTGGTTTTTCCCCCTACGATGTCCAGTTCTAGAGCAATCTCGGCCATCTTGCACTTTCCCAAGCTCACTTGTTCTCTGCCACCCTAGGCTCCTGCACGTGCTGCTCCCTTTGTCCAGAATGTTCTGTGCTGCTTGTCTACTTTCTGCTTTGCCCTTGGCCTTTATGTGCCCTGCCAGTGGCAGAGGCCTGTCCCTCTGGAAGTCTCCCTTGAGGCTATGACCAGGCCGGTGCCCAGACATGTGCCCCTGTTGACCCCCGTGACTTTTCTTCACAGCACCAGACACATTTTTAGCCACATAATTATCTGTGGTAATTTGTTTAATGTCTTCCCCCCCAAGGAAACTGTTAACTCTATGAGAGCGGAAACTTAGTTTAGCACAATATTCTTCAGAGCATAGCACAAAGACTGGCACATAGTAGGTCTCAATGTATATGACTCACACATATAAACAACATATAATGTCCAGTACATTCCCTACATACAAACCTTCAAGTTATGAACTTTGAAGACACATACCTGCTTTTTAAAATATATTATGTCTTTCCACCAGGTGTCAGTACAGCCTGTTAAATGCTTCTAGCCCATTGGGTTAGTTGAGTCCCTAGACTGACTTTGTTGGACTTAAAAATGTGCTCTCAGAACGGAACTCATTTGCATGTTGAGGACTTCCTGTAATTTGAAATATAGAGTAACATATGCTTGCTCTTTCAAATGCATATGTAAGACATTACTTAGTGAGAATTCTTCCAGGTCTTATTTTAATCAATTAATGATAGCCACATGATCATACATGCTGCTTTCAGGTTTTGTTTTTTTTTTTTGGAGTCGGAGTCTCACTCTGTCGCCCAGACTAGAGTGCAGTGGCCGCTCCCGGCCACTGCAGCCTCGACCTGCTGGGCTCCAGCGATCCTTCCACCTCAGCCTTCCGGGTAGTCGGAATTACAGGCACGTGCTACCATGCCCGGCTTATTTTTTGATTTATTGTAGAGATGAGGTCTCGCTGCCCAGGCGAGTCTCAAACCCGTGGGCTCAGGCAATCTACTCAACTCAGCCTCCCTAAGGTGCGGGATTACAGGCTGAGCCACCAAGCCCAGCTTGCTTTCAAGTTTTTAAGAATAGTTTGTTTGTCTCAGGCAGTTTTTCCTGTTCTCTTTAAAGTCTGGTTCACAATCATATTCTCCTTGGAAAACCATTCCATGTTGGCTTATGCCAAGGCTCAGTAGCCATCAAAATATCAGAAATTTCTACTTACTGTTTTCTGGAGATTAGCTACGATAAAACCACAATTTTTAAAAAAATGTTTTATTTGAAAAATTGCAAGCATATAAAAGGAGAGAGAGTAGAATGAACTTCCATGCATGCATTTTGCAGCTTCAGTACTTAGCAACATCTGGCCTATCTGACTGCACCTCCTGCATACTGGTGGATTATTTTAAGGAAAAGCCAAGACACCATTTCATTTCATCCATAGATACTTTAATAGGTACCTCTCTTGGGTAAGGACTCTTTAAAAAATAGCTATAAGACCAATATTACACCTGAAAATTAATAGCAGTTCCTTAATACTGTCCAATATCCAGTGTGCAAATTTTCCTACTTTTTTTTTTTTTTTTGAGTTGGAGTCTCACTTGGTCACCCAGACTGGAGTGCAATGGCCACTCCCGGCCACCGCAGCCTCGCCTGCTGGGCTCCGGCGATCCTTCCGCCTCAGCCTTCCGAGTAGCTGGAATTACATGCGCACGCTACCACGCCCGGCTGATTTTTTGATTTTTATTGTAGAGATGAGGTCTCGCTGCCCAGGCAGGTCTCGAACCCGCGGGCTCAGGCAATCCACTCACCTCAGCCTCCCAAAGGCGCGGGATTACAGGCTGAGCCACCGAGCCCGGCAATTTTCCTATTTTTATCTTACAATTTTTTAAACTGTGAATTTATGCGCTCAGGATTCAGTGTTCCCTTCTCTCTCTCTTTTCTTTTTGTCTTGCTCTTTAACTATTGGTGGTGCGAAGAATAAATATATGTATACACACACACACACACACACACACACACACACACACACACACACACACATACACACATATATCTTTTTTTTTTTTTTTTGAGTTTGAGTTTGAGTCTCACTCTGTCACCCAGACTGGAGGACCGTGGCCGCTCCCGGCCACCGCAGTCTCGACCTGCTGGGCTCTGGCGATCCTTCCACCTCAGCCTTCCAAGTAGCCGGAACTATAGGCACTCGCTACCACGCCCGGCTCCTTTTTGATTTATTGTAGAGATGAGGTCTCACCAAGTTGCCTGGTCGGGTCTCAAACCTGCAGGCTCAGGCAATCCACTCACCTCAGCCTCCCAAAGGCGCGGGATTATAGGCTGAACCACCGAGCCCAGCTCACACACACATCTTAAGTGATGTTGAGAGATGGTCGCCATAATCAGAAGTGTCTGGATGGTTATGTAACCACTTTCAGCACCTCTTGTAATTGCAGAAGTCAAATGCGACTTGTACTCATCTTATTGAGTATTACAATTTCAATACCATTGTTTTCTTTCTTAAAATGTGTATTCATTTTTTTTGGCACCCTCTATATATTTTAAATGAGTCCTGTCTTATAAAGTTTCCCACATTATAGACTTTGCTGATTTTATTTGTAAAATGTTCTTTAAAATGTTTCTCTTCTCCCCAAATTTCTTGGAAGCTGGTGATGAGCTCAAACATTTGAATAAGGTTTAGACTCTTTTTTTGTTGTTGTTTTTAAGAAAAAGTGGTTCATGTTTTCCTTCATTGATTTGAAATGCTGCTCTTATTAAATTTCAATATTAATGACACCATTTTGAAGTCTAAAGAAACAAAGAAAATCACTGTAGTTTAGTTCCTAATGAGCTAAACTTTTGAATCCCAACTTTTTGAATGATGATTTTTTTTCAATTTCTAAAATTGTTTATGAAACTGGTTTAACCAGATACCACAACTAAATAAGTACAATACAAGAAATTAAATAACAGACTCATGAACACATAGTAAAATCATAAACAATGTAGAGACAAGCCAAATCCTGCATTATGTAGAAAGTATAATGCATCATAAACAAGTTGGGGTTTTTTTAACACAGGGATGCAAAGGTAGTTTAACTTTTTAAAAATCAGATTATTTAAAAATTTTTTTTCCAACAAAAGGTTTATATTCAAAATATATGAGAAAATCCTATAGCTAATAGCAAAATAACAAATAAACCAATTTTATGAATGATGATTTTGCTTCATTTTAATATTATATTTTTCTTTCTCAGATTTGGCAAGAAGAAAAACACATGTTTGCTGTTTGTTTTCATAATCCCTGAAAATTTTAAAGGTACATGCCTGCTGGATATAGTATTTGTTTTTTCTCCAAATAGAAATCATGAGACCAATATTTAATAAAAAGATTCTCAGGTTGTATTTCAGGGTATGGAACTGATATTACTTTAGTTGAACCACTGACAATGGAAAAAATGAGCAGTGTGGTAAAATACTGGAAAACATGTCTCTCAAATGCTGGTGAGTAAAAAATAAATTTCCAAAGTTTTGAAAATTCTAATTAAAACTCCATGAAAAGTATTTTATACATTTTTATTTATTTATTTATTTATTATTTTTTAATTTTTTTTAGAGATGAGGTCTCGCCAAGTTGCCCAGGTGGGTCTCAAACCCGCGGGCTCAGGCAATCCACTCACCTCAGCCTCCCAAAGGCACGTGATTGCAGGCTGAGCCACCCAGCCCGGCTATTTTATACATTTTTAAATTGGTTTTCCACTTATGCTTTTTATTTCTAAGGATTAACTTCATGCTGGGTGCTGCAAAGAACATTCATCTTTGTTAATCACAATCTGAAGAAAACAAGTGTAACTAAAATAAAGAAAGATATGTTCTTTACCTGTGAAGCAAAAATGTACGTCTTCAGAGGTTTAAAATGTATTGCACAAGGGCAAATGCAGTGTCATGATGGGAGCAGAGATTGTTTTATTTATTTATTTATCTATCTATTCTGGTAACAAGATTGTGTTACTATTTTCGAGGTCAGGGGTAGCCCAGCTACCATTTCTTAGTCATTCAAATGGAGTCACTCCTGTTGTGTCACTGTGTAGTCACCTACAAGAGGAGGGGGGGCACTAATCCTTGAATTGTGTAGTACTACCTCCCTTGCAAAACACTTGCATATAAATTATTTTGCTTCCAGTTAATAAAGAGGTTATCCTCTGTTTTAGATTTTAGACACAGAGGATGCATGTCAGTGCTTCAATTAGACTTCACATTTCTCAACTCTTGACCTGATATATTATGCATATCACCAGCGTCTAGCACTTAAACTAATGACATTCGTTTTAATTTTGCTTGTCAAAGGACAGACTCCAATTTTTGGAATTAAATTTTACTGGAATCATGATTGGTCAATGACTATTTCTGGTCTTTCTAGGCCTAGGATGCTAGCTAGGAAATCTTTTAAAATGAAGATGATTGGGGGAGATGTAGGTCAAGGGGTACAAGGTTTCATTTATGTAAAGATGCACAGATTCCAAATGTGACTGTAGTTAGCAGTACTGTCCTGTGTCATTGAAGTTTGCCAAGAGGGTAGATCTTAAGTTTTCTCACCACAAAAAAATTGGCAACTGTGTGAGGTGATGGGTTCCGTTAATTAGCATGATTGTGGCGATTATTTCACAATGTCTATGTATGTCAACTCAAGTTGTACACCTTAAATATATACAATTTTGAATTACAAATTATACCTCAATAAAGCAGGGGAAAAATTAGAAATATAAAATAAAATTGAGATGAGATTTTTCTTAAAATGGGCCTGAAAGTCACTTCTTTCTGGATTATCCTGTGCAAACTCATATTCTAGATAATACTGGATATAATACATCCCTCCTGGTTTTTGTCTATCTGTCTATCTATCTATCTATCAATCATGTGAGAGTCTCACTTTGTAGCCCAGGCTGGAGTGCAGTGATACACTCACAATGACCACAGCCCCCACCTGCTGGGCTCGGGCAATCCTCCTGCCTCAGCCTTCCAAGTAGTTGCAACCACAGGCAGGCACCCCCATGCCCAGCTAATTTTCTAATTTACTGTGGCGATGAGGTCTTGCCAAGTTGCCCAAGCGGGTCTGTGTTCTTTTTTTTAATATTCAGATCAGTGAGTCTGTTTTGTGACATTCCAACAGCTCCCAGCCCCTGCAGTTTTCAAGTTCTTCCTGGAAGTGACTAACCATGGTGACCAAGGGCTTTGTGCAAGCTCTTCTTATCGGTCCTCAGTGGAATAGAGCAGCTGCTTGTCACCGGCCCACATGCTTCATTTAGTTACAACCACGACTGCTTCCAGCTGTCTTATTTTGCTCTGAGGATGAGCAGCTGAAAAAAATTTTTTTTTCAGGTTCCATAGTTTGGCAGTGCAGCTGCTTATTGAAGACTCATGCATATTTTCTGTCTCCTGCCATTTTTCTATAAATAGGAACTTGATAAATAAACTCAGTTAAGCCGGGCTAGGTGGCTCAGCCTGTAATCCTGTGCCTTTGGGAGGCTGAGGTGAGTGGATTGCCTGAGTCCGCGGGTTCGAGACCCGCCTGGGCAGCGAGACCTCATCTCTACAACAAATCAAAAAAAAAATCAGCCAGGCATGGTAGCGCATGCCTGTAGTTCCAGTTACTTGGAAGGCTGAGGCGGAAGGATCACCAGAGCCCAGCAGGTCGAGGCTGCGGTGGCCGGGAGCGGCCACTGTACTCCAGTCTGGGCGACAGAGTGAGACTCCAACTCAAAAAAAAAAAAAAAAACTCAGTTGAACATGTTTTCGCACACCTGTTGCTAAGTGACTAGAATACGGTTGAAAGAGGGTGTCCTGAGGTAAATGGTGTAGTATTTTAGTTTGGGCTTTCTAACCTAAGTGGTTTTATGCTTCCCAGACTGAGATCTAGAAATGGCTTGCTAGTTTAAAAATACTGCTTTGTAAAATCGATTGAGTAAAAGATGACAGCTACGTTAAGGATTGAATCCTGTATGTTGAAAGCATCCTTCCTACTAGCGATTTTGGAATTCAAATGGTCTCCCTTTTAAAACTTTCAGCTAAGAATGAACATGCTCTCTGGCCTGAAGAACCTGGAGTGTCCTTGCAGAGGTCTTGCAGTGAACACCTGGAATGTGTTTCTACTGATCTGTTTGGCTGGTTAGATGTTTGTACTTTTTTATAATAGTACTATTTACCATGTGCGTTTCATTTACAAAAATTCCAGAGAACTTATTGATTATGGAACACTAGACTAGCTCACGTGCCTGGAGGTGATCTAAAAGAAAGAAGAGGCTATTTTGTGGAACGGGATGCAGTATTTTCTGTCTTTCAGAATCCTGAGTTGGCACCATGGGTATACAGTACAGAAGTATTCAACTCACTGTAAGGAAGCACTTCATAAGCAATTAGAGTTGACCATGAGGGGGAACAGGTTGAATTGTAAGGTTGTAAGTTCCCCATCATGGGAGTTTTGCCAGTGTTAAAATGGAGTCTGAGTTATCACTAATCAAAGTTCAATAATAGCAGTGGAATTCAGACTTTTTTTTTTAGAACAGTGGGATCCTTTCCTCTAACAAAAATTTTACATGGAATCCTAATATTTAAACAGATGATAGCAACCTCACCTGTTATCCACCTACCACTCAGTTCTTCCTGTTGTCATTCTTGAACTCATGAACCTATGCCCAGTTATTCAAAAACCACACTTAAGAAAGGATTTAAAGGGTTTTTTAAAAGCATACCTCATGTAGCTTATAGAATAACCTTATTGGTCCACAAGACAAGTTTTATTGTGTCTCTCTGTGTCTGTTTCTCTCTTTCTCTCATAGATATTAGAACTGGCATTTTCAAACTTGCATTGGATAGACAGTTTGAATTGGGGGATCCAACCCTTCCAATGCTAGCATTGTGTGCTTATAAAAATTCAGTTTTCATTAATTTCTCACCTTTGCTTAAAGCTGATTTCCAAGGAGGCTTTAAATAGAGCATAAAGCTAAAAAGAATGGACACCTAACTGCTGAGGATATGGGTACTGTCCTGATGATGGTGAGAATTTTGACTAAGTCACTCCCGGAATTTGTAGCATGTGGCCACCTACTATTTTGAACAAGGAAGGGACTTGGCAGCCAGTAAGTGTGGTTAAACCAAAGATGAGCTCACTTAGGTAGTTCGGAGATATCAATAGCTTTCTTGAGCTTATTTAACTGTTTGTTTTTTTTTTTTGAGTCATAGTCTCACTCTGTCGCCCAGGCTGGAGTGCAGTAGCATGCTTACAACCACCCCAGTGTCGACCTGTTGGACTCAGGTGATCCTCTGCCTCAGCCTTCCAAGTAGCTGGAACTACAGACGCATGCTACCATGCCTAGCTGATTTTTTGATTTATTGTAAAGACGAGATCGCACCAAGTTGCTCAGGCTGGTTTCGAACCCCTGGGCTCAGGCAGTCTGCTCACCTTGGCCTCCCAAAGTGCTGGGATTATAGGCTTGAGCCACTATGCCCAGCCTTATTTAACTTTTTAATCTCCAAGAGACTTACTGTATTAAACCTTGTCTGGGATATGCGGTTGAGAAGAGTTTTGGAAGGTTTCATGATTTTCTTATATGACTTACAACTAACTTTGTTTTTCTCTCTACTCATCTTGAATCTTTCTGTCTTTCCTCAGAATTCTACCACTACAAATAAAAGTAAATTTTCAAATCAAGTGATGTCCCTTAGGATAAAGGAAATAGGATTCATCTACAAGTTTCTTAGGTTAATTTTTTTTTTTTTAAATCAATTGAAAATGCCTGAAGAAGTCTGGAAAAAATGTAGAACCAGAAAATGTCCATTAAATGACAGATTTCAAAGTGGGGGAACCTGCTCTTTGTTGATCAAATTGGAATAGAGTGTATCTTGGCCTACTAATTCTTTACACTTTTTTCCTGTAATGTATCTTTCCTTCTGAAGAGTTGATGCAGTCATTCATATACTTTGATATAGTCATAATCAGTGAGGTCAGAATGTTTTAATCCCACTTGTATCTGTTGTTATTTAGCAGTATATTTTAGAATTTTGATGAGTCATTGGATTTATGATGATTTTGATAATTTATTTCTTGAAAATTGTGCAAAATGTATAAGGTACTTTATACTTTGTTTTGTTATTTATTGTCTCTTTGTATGAAACAAGAGACTTAGAGGAGCATCCTTTGTGTTTTGGTGCTTATTGTTTAATATTGCCTGACAGTTTTCCTCCTTAACGTACGGTATGATTTTCTCATTTCTAGCTTTGAATCTCTAAGAAATGACAATGGGTTTGAATTAAAGGCTCCGTTGTCAGAGTTCGAGAAAAGCAAAAATATTTCTCTTCTTCATTCAAGCAAGGAAAAAGTGAGAAGGTAAATTTTAATACAGTCCTTTTAGAGCAGTTTATGCCTTTGTAGGGAGAAATTACTTCCATGAATTTTGTAATTTTTTGTAATATTGTTAAAAGTCTAAGGGAAACTGGTATATCTTGTCGATGTTGCTCATTCCTTCGGTCATTCAATCATTCAGCAAACGTCCCTGACTTTGCACGGTGTGCCAAATTATAATTGGAGAAATGAGTCTCTGCCTTCAAAGGTTTCTCAATCTGGAGCTCACACAGGCTTCTACATAGCATATTAAATAAAAAATTATGCTTTAATACATATCAGGATGCGAAGAACACAGAGTAAGAACACTCTTAAAGTTAGTTAAGACAGAATAAGACAGAAGGAAGTCTCCTGAAAAGGAAATAGCTAAATTGAGCTTTTGATAAAAAAATAGCTATTAATAGCTGGGCTCGGTGGCTCAGCCTGTAATCCCCAGCCTTTGGGAGGCTGAGGTGAGTGAATTGCCTGAGCCTGCGGGTTCGAGACCCACCTGGGCAACTTGGCAAGACCTCATCTCTACAATAAATCAAAATGAGCCGGGCGTGGTAGCACGCGCCTGTAGTTCCAGCTACTTGAAAGGCTGAGGCGGAAGGATCGCCGGAGCCCAGCAAGTGGAGGCTGTGGTGACTGGGAGCGGCCACTGCACTCCAGTCTGGGCGACAGAATGAGACGCCAACTCAAAAAAAAAAATAGCTATTAATTTGGTTTCGAAGTCAGAGAAGAAACATTTTGTACAGAGAGACTAGTAAGCACAGAGGCTGGCAGGATCAGAGAGTACGGTGACACTATGGCACTACAATTCCTTCCATGTGGTTGGATGTCAGGACCCAAGTGAGACGAGGCAAGAAATGAGAGGTAGCAAGTCAGGGCTAGGTGTGCCTTGCTGCGGAATTCAACTGCAACCTGGTCTGTTGGTGAGCCACCAGGGAATGTTAGCAAAGGAGTGGTGTGATGAGATTTATATCTTAGAATTGGCTGGGTGTGGTGGCTCACGCCTGTAATCCCAGCACTCTGAGGGGCCAAGATGGGAGGATTGCTTGAACCCAGGAGCTCAAGACCAGTCTGGGCAACATAGTGAGACCTCGTCTCTATTTAAAAAATGTGTATGTGTGCGTGTGTGTTAGAATGAACACTCTAGCAGCATGGAAGAGAGTGAATTGAGTCTGGAGCCCAGAAGGAGTCTGTTGTAAGAAATGATGAGATCCTGAGCGGCGGTGTTATAAATGGGATGGAGAGGAATAATCCAGTTTCGGCTATATCCCTAGGTAGAATCAGTATGAGCATGCTGAAGGAGGGGTCAAGTGTAACTCCCAAGTGAATGGTGGTGCCATTGACTGATGAGGATATGTAGTAGAAAGGCAGTCTGAGGGGTCTGGGGTGAATGGTATACTTTTATTTTGGTCCTTGTCGAGTATGAATATCTCCAGGTTTAAACAGAGAAGAGTTGACCGTTTGATTTTAGAAAAAGTTCTAGGCTAGAAATACAGACTTCGAGGTGTCAGGGCACGGCATCTATTTGAAGCAAGGCTGCCCGCTGAAGCCTTTCCAGCCTGGTTGCTGTAGGGTTGTCAGACTTCTTTCTTGGTAGCTCAGGGGCCTAGAGAGGACGTGGACACTGTCAGTCCCTTCGGCCTTGACCCCGTGCCACTTCCACCGTATGCTAGTGGTCCGAGTCATCACAGAGCCCACCCAGAGCCAAGAAGAGGGAACAGGCCCCACCTTTCAGCAGAAGGAATTTGAAAGAATTTTAATTCCCGACGGCTGCTGAGGGGGTGCTGGTGATGGAGCCAGCATCCCTGAGAAGGCAGAAAGTGATGGAATCCAGAACCAGGTGGGAGACTACCTCTTCCACTGAAAATGGAGAGGAGGAGTTAGGCTCAGTGTGGACACAGATGAGTTTTTGCTGGGGCCAGGTAGGGCGGTGGGGAAGTTGAGCAAACTCTGTGCTGAATGGCCTCTCTATTATCTGCTGGAGATGAGTGGAAGGATGGTGAGGGTTGGGGCTTAGTGAGATGGGATGGTGGAGAGGCCAGCGGAGCCCCAAAGGGCTTCCTTCCTATGACTGCTGCCTTGGGCGGGCAGGTCAAGACTTGGAGCCTGCTGGATAGCACTTTCCTACAGATTTCACTCACCTGAAGCAAAAGGAGAAAAATGCAGAGCAACGAGTATTTTTAAAGCTACAGAGGGTACATTTATATCCTAAGGTTGAATTCTTCATACTTTATTTGGCATGAAAATCATGGTGATATTAATAAATGGTTACAATGACATGATATTAGAGACATTCTTTTTCTTTTTTTATTTTTTATTTTTTGAGTTGGCATCTCATTCTGTCACCCAGACTGGAGTGCAGTGGCCACTCCCAGCCACCGCAGCCTCCACTTGTTGGGCTCCGGCAATCCTTCTGCCTCAGACTTCCAAGTAGCCGGAACTACAGGCACGCGCTACCATGCCCGACTAGTTTTTGATCTATTGTAGAGACAACAAGTTGCACAGGCGGGTCTCAAATCCGCGGGCTCAGAAAATCCACGGGCTCAGAAAATCCACTCACCTCAGCCTCCCAAAGCGTGGGATTACAGGCTGAGCTATCGAGCCCGGCTGTTTCATTCTTTTTCATGTCCAGATCTGATAATGTTGGAAATCCTTTCTCAGTCCCCCAAAGTTATATGTTAGTTTTTTGTTTTTGTTTTTTTTTTATTTTAATGGCTGGTGAAAATCAAAATCTAAGAACTATTCATTTAGCAAACTAAAATGATGCTTTGGGGTGGGGTCCCCAGCCTCCGGTCCACGGCCTGTCAGGAACCCAGCAGCACAGCCAGAGGTGAGCAGCTGTGATCAGAGCTCCACCTCCTGTCAGATCAGTGTGGCACTAGATTCTCACAGGCGTGCGAACCCCATTGTGAACCCCCCATGAGAGGGATCTAGGGTTCGTGCTCCTTGTGAGAATCCAATGCCTCATGATTCCCACCCCTCATCCACTGGCCACTCGTCTGTGGAAAAATTGTCTTCCACGAAATGGGTCCCTGATGCCAAAAAGGTTGGGGACTGTTGCTTTGTGGGATATTCACCCCGTGGCATTATTTGAAAGGCTAGAAATCTGTTTCCCCAAAAGAAAAGCTGTGATAAAGACCCCTGCTTTCTCTTTAGAGGTTTTCTTGGGAGATACCAGGAGGTAACAAAAAAAAAAATTCTGATTAGTTTTCACCTTTCCTTCTTCCTAATCCTTCTGACGGTGCCTGCAAATCTGAAAATGCTTGCTTCTGGTCTGCTTCCTCCCATCCGCTGCTTTGCTTTACATACTTTTGTCTTGTTTGGTTTTCAAGCAGCACAGGGTAATGTGATGTTTGCCAGTGTTAAGGAAACGATGGTTCTGGCCGATGGTTTTGAATGTTTGCACTTGGAACCTTTTTTCTTTATAAAAATTCATAATACCCCCTTTTCATTATTAGAACAGATTAATAGCAATTAGCTAACTAATTCTTGTATTCTTGGTGAAATACCTTTCATTATAAATTTAAAAATACATAACCATGTTTTTATCTTGTAAGGCATATACTTTTCTAAGTGATGTCATCATCTTTTGTGTACCCATGAGTCTGACATGGTGATTTAGTCATTTTCAAGGTGTCTGCTCACTTGAAAAGAAGATAAAGTGAACTTTGTAGTTGTCTCTTGAAAATGAAGGCTTTTCAAGTCTTAGAAGTTCAAGGAAGATTTATTATAATTTTATGAGAAAAGGATTGGCAGTAGTGGGACACTGCCGGGGGTGGGGCACATAACATCAATAAGGGTACCCACACTTTACTTGTACAATGACTACCTATGTAACTAACCCTGAATTGTACCTCGCATTTCAAAAATTTATAAACAAACACACAAATAAATAAATAAAAGAAATTCAAGGAAGGTAGAACAGAAAGTTCTCAGAAGGTCCCAAGTTGTGTCTGGTGCAGAGACCTCTCCCTGTGAGTCCTTGTTTGCTTGAGACCGATTTGTACAGAGGAGAGACTCAGGTAGACGACCTTGTTTCCCATCTTAGGGGGAAAGTGTTGAGTCTTTCACCATTACGTAGGATGTAAGCTATAGGTTTTTGTGCATGCCTTTATCAGCTTTAAAAAAGTTCCCTTCTCATCCCAGTTCAACTTTTTATCATGAATGAATATAATTTTTTCTCTATTAAGATGTTTATATTATTTTCTTCTCTTTTCTGTTAATGTGATGATTACATTGATTTTTAAAATGCTCAATTCCAGTTTTGTCTTGATGTGTTATCCTTTTTATTTATTGCTGGATTAGATTAGCTAAGATTTTCTTAACAATTTTTGAATCTGTCAAAGATTCAAATCTGTCGAAGAATATTGGTCTGTAGATTTCGTATGTATTTATCTGATATCTGTATTAAGGAAATGCCGACCTCATATAATGAAATGGAATGGTCTTGTTTTCTGAGTTTAGAAATGATGTGTTTGATAGAACTCAACAATGAAGTCATATAGTCTTGGAATTATTTTGTGGGAAGGTTTTAATTACAAATTCGATTTCTTTAATGATTATAGGACTAGATTTTCTATTTTTTCTGTGTCAATTTGGGTTAATTTATGTTTTTCAAGAAATATATCCATTTAATCTAAATTATCAAATTTATTTAGCAACTTTATAATGCTCTTCTTATCATTTTAAAGTCGGTAGGTCTGTGGTGACAGCTTCTTTCATTCCTACTATTGATAATTTGTGTTTTCTCTCTCTTTTAAAGAAATATTTTATTTATTTTTTCATAGGGACAGAGTGTCCCTGCCAGCCTGGTCTCAAACTCCTGGCCTCAAGCAATCCTCCCTCTACAGACTCTAAAAGTGCTGGGATTACAGGCATGAACAACCACGCCTAGTCATTTGTAGAAATTCTTTATTCCTTTTTGTAAAGTTGCAAATATCTTCTCCTACTCTGTCACTTGTCCTTAACCTAATTTATTACATATTTTTGCGTAA